TTGCCCCCCCCCCCCCCAAGCTGTGGGCTTTTGACCAGGTTCGCAGCACGAGACGGGACCTCAAATCCAATCAGAGAACAGTTCGCTGCCGCCATAACTGTCATGTCACTACTGAACCATGGGGCACACTTCGCTTGGCAAGTTGGTATTGTAGCACTCGGGGGCTGTGTCTGGGTAAGTTCATAGATAACTGTTCTCCCTGAGCAGACTGCACAGCACCTTCTGGCACTATGAAAGCCAGCCGTAGAAGAAATTTCCAGCTCAGTTCCCACTTGCTTTTCCTATGTTCTGCAGCCGTGTGCTATGTCTTCAGTTGTAAGTATGTCTGACACATGTTTTGTTTGTTCCCTCTCTCCCCAGCTGGCCTGGAACTCACTGTACAGACCAGGCTTGTTCCGGCCTCACAGAGATCTGCTAACAGAGGCCCCCAGAGTGCTGGGACTAAAGGCATGCGCCACCATGCCCAGTCTGCACATTAACACATTTCCTGATGCCACATCCTGCTGTTTGGATGGGACCTCAAGTGGCACAGGCCAGATGTCTTTTGTTGAGAAACTGCTGAAACTAACAGGTTCACAGAACTAAGGTGTTTTGTATGTGCATTACTGTAGTTAACAAAACATTTGCATATACTTCATGTTATTTGTTCTGTAAAATTATCATGTGAAGAAGCAGCTCTGAGGTGTTTACATTATGTGAGACATGCTAGGGACACGGTGGTGAGCAAAAGGTACATGGAACTTGTAGTTCAAAACAGGCAGACTTTGAGCCAATAATCACACAGTAATCTAAGAGATATACGACAGTCACCTTATCACGATGACAAGTGGTATGGAGAAATGTGGAGGAGGAGTGTGCTTCGTGTCAGAAGACCCAGGCACACTGCTCTCTAGCTGACAAGCTTGTAGTCTGTAGGGGCAGAGAGGGAGACGGTGTCCAGATTCCAGTGCCTTTTCCCTTGCTTTGCTGTCTCCAAAGATGCACTAGGTCAGGAAGTCACAAAGTCAGGAAAAGGACAAGGGAGTAAGGTCAGGAAGCACCAGTGTCTCGGACTGAATCTAAGGAAGACCCGCACCCTGGGGGTGGGGCTCAGTGTGCAAGAGGCTTTTCTAGAGAGCAGCCCTTCACACTAGGTCGCTGGGGACACCCACCCCATCAGGAAGTATCCACCCAAAAGACTATCAAAGAGGGAGGAAGTGCAATTCTTTGATACTCTGTACTACATAGTAAGAATTGTTCTGATATTGGTATTTACTGTTCCTTTCTTATACCAGAGTCAACTCAAACTCAGAGGTTAGATAACATTTCCAAAATTGCACATTTTGGCAGAACTGGGTAAAAACCCTTCTCTGCCTGACAGCAACCACTGTCTGACCGATAGCTGACAACCAAGTAAATCCAGAGCACTAAAGAAATGACCTTCACTCTCAGAAGACTATGGCTTTGGGGCAAATTTGTATTTCTAATATAAGTGTTTTGGGAAGAGACAAACAGGAGTATTTACCTAAGGAATTTTCTAGTATATGTAAAGATAATCACAGATGTGTGTAAAATAGATGCTGCCTTAAGAATCAGTTTAGCAGTCAAGGTATGACCTCATATGCGCACACACTAACATATACATACACATATCCTTCCATGCATCCCTTCATGGTATATATGTGCATATACACATGTACCGTTATTAACCCTTTTCCCAGGTTCTCCTGAAGTTCACTGGGGTTGTGTTCCATCAGTTTAGCAACTTTCAAGCCGGAGGGTGGGTAGAGTTAGGAGAATGACGTAGAGCAAGCACAGAAATAGAAAACAGTTATCATGTAACTTATTTGCCCCCAAACCCCATGCTTATCAAACTTAGATTCAGCATTTATAAGAATCCTGATACCAAGAACATATCGCATCCTCTTGTCACCCTGGCAGATCTGTCTCTATAAATTGGATTTTTGAGTGAATATTTTTCCTGAGACTTTATCCCTCACTACCACATTGCATTGAATTTATGTAGCTGAGGATCAGGTCCAAAGCCATGGTTGCTGTCCTACAGAGCATGGGACTTACTTACACCGCCAGTACTGAAACCTTGATGAAACCATGTGTCCACACAAGGACGTAAGAACAGATTCCAGGAAAGGCAAACTGCCAGGGATCACATGAGTTCTTAAATACCTGACTGCAAAAATTAGAGGAACTGGAGTATAGAGCAAAGAACATTCTTTAAGAACAAACAAATAAGCAAACAAAAAACAGAACCAAGAATAAAGTTTAAAGAAGGGGCTGTGGCTACAGCTCAGTGGTAATGTTCTCACCTCGTGTGTAAGGCTCTGGGTTCCATAGGCTCTCCAGCACTAAGAACAAAAACTAATGCAGAAAAATTATAGGCAAGAGGATTAAAGATTGGACAATGGTAATGAAGTCACCTACCTGGGAGCCTGAAGTTCGGCTCCCACGCTTCACATGACTACAGAGAGCAGCAGACAATTGTGTGTGCCAAAAGCCAGGGGAAGGAATTTGAAAGTTCTAACAATGATCAAATGATGTGGGGGGAGATGACACAGTTAACCTGATCTACATGTATTAAACGATCACATGGCACACCATTAATAAGCATAATTTTGGGGTTTTATGTTTCAGTTACAAATAAAAAAATTAGAAAATCAATGCTGGCGGTCCATCTTGGGGCAAATGAGCACAAGCCAAACATGGGCAGAAGGGGCTTATTATTAAAGTAATTCAAGGCAGTTTCCCAAATCGAAGAACATGTATTTTTAAATGATTCAGGCATCAAGCAGGATGAATGAATTAAACAGAACAGAAACATCCCTGTCGTGCTGTGATGAATAGTCTCAGAGAACACAGTTCTTGTAGGAACTCGGAAGGAGATCATCTCCACAGCTAGCCAAGGTCACCAAGCCTTCGGGAGGAAGTGACGTTTAATCCAGAATTCCGTGCTGTCAGTCAGGCTGCCAGGCAGCTTGGTGAAAGAACGAAGCAGTTCTATAAGGCACCAAAATGCATCATCTACGAACGCTTCCTGCTGAAGGTCCCGGAAGAGACGCGCCGCGGGTAGAATGAGGTCTTCGGAAAACCAGGCTGGAAGAGCTGGAAAGCCCCAGTGCAGGGCCACAAGACCTCAGCCTAACATTTGCAGACAGCACACCTTGTGCAGCTGGGGGTTTCGCACTTTTGTAAAGGGACATTGGTTAAGAAAAAGACCCCTTTGGAAATATGATTTTTTCTTCAGTGTTTTTCGAACAGTATTACAAAAAGAAAGAAAATTAAAAATACATTAAGATCTTACTAACTTTGGGATAAAATGGCTTCTGGTTGGGGGGTAGCAGAAACAAAACTTGGTTAACACAGAAAATGTATAATAACTGAAAGATTCACACAGTTTGGTATTGACACACAGCTGTAAAACATAAGCCATTTCTTCACTAGAGATGTGGTGTTGGGAGAAAAGGAATACACGGTGGGGTGGGTGTACAGCAGTCCCCCTTATTACACTTCAGGACACCCAGTGGATGCCTCACACCAGGGGTCGTACCAAGCCCTATGTATTTTCCATACATATTATCCATCATGAAGTTTAATTTATAAAGTAGGCATATTAACAACAGCTGTAAACATACTATGGTAAAATTATCTTCACCACTACCCAAGTTTGGGGGGTCAATATTAAGTAAAATGGGAGCTACTTAGGTTTATAAACACTGAGGCACTACGACAGTTGATCTGTTACCTGAGATGGCTGATAGTGATGGAGGGGCAGGCTTATACAGTGTGGATGTGCTGGACCGTGGGATGAATCAGGAGCCAGGAAAGACACAGTATGAAAGTATAAGACTGCTACTCACTTTAAAACTTATTTCTAGAACTTTCCATTCATTATTTTTAGACCATTTGACCATAGGTACCTGAGGCTGCAGAAAGCAAAATTGTACATAAAGTGGCACAGCAGTGATGGTTAAACTAGTGCCTTTGAGAGTATCACTGCTGTGGGGGGCTCAGGGGCGCCATCTTCTAGATGCTTAAGGACCCTCACCCATGCGGCGTCCGCAGCTGCTCCATCAGTAGTTCCTAGGTCCATAACACACCCAAAGAACCTGAGATACAGAGTTGAAATACTGCCTTAAAGCCTCGTAGGTGGGAGCCATTGACCCAGGCTTTGCCTGTTGTGTTTACCTTCTTTCCTACATTGCCCCTCTCCCTGACAGCACAGGCAGCAAGGGAAGATTGTGTCAAAGAATGGAAGGCAGGAAGTTATTCCTTAAGCGACTTATTTAGAGTTACAGAAGCAAATACAGAAACAGCAGCTCAGTGAAAGTGTTTACATTTAAGGAGCACTGAGGTGGAGGGTGGGGTGGAGGGTGAGGTCGGGCAGAGCTGCTTTGTGTTAGAGGCCCTTTTCCTGTTTTTTATTTAAAGTTCTGTGATCAAAGATGGAGAGCAGGGAGAGATGAGGATGGAGATGAGGGAGAGGTGCTCAGCATCCAAAGATGGAGATGAGGGAGAGATGCTCAGCAGCTGAGAGAACGGCTGCTCTTCCAGAGGACCCAGGTTTGGTCCCCAGCACCCAAGTAGCAGCCAAGAATCCTCTGTAACTCCAGTTCCAGGGGATCTGATTGTCCTCTTCTGGCCTCTGTGGGCATCACACAACACGGTGCACTTACATACATGTAGGGAAAATACTCAACTACATAAAACAAAAATAACTAAATAAAAACATGGAGGGCAATAGGGGACGATAAATGAAGTCAAGCTCTTGCTTCCACATCTGTACACACATGTTCACACATATGCATACATCACACATACACAAATGCACAGAGGGAATTTTCAACTGTGATTTAGAAATCTTACAAGACTTAAATCCCTTTGTAACTAACTGCTATTAAAACTATCCCCACTAAGGGTCATCATCCTAAGGTGTTTTCATGTCATGCCTGTCTGTGAGTCTATCATGACCTCCAGGTACAGTCAGAGCTGTGGGAACTAGCCACAGTCATGGGATATAGAGATAAGTTCACTTCATTTAATAAAAACTAGATGTCAGAGATGCCCGGAGCACAAGAGAGGAACCATGGTGTCGTTTCCTCTTCATCCCCACCCGTAGCGCTGGCCCCGCTCACTTCCACGCTTATCATGACTAACCTCTCCCACGCCAAGTTTCTTGGTGGCACTGTCAAAGGCAGGAGTCAGGGCAGGATGAATCATAGCTTAGTTCAAAGTGGCAATTCTTTACTTCTGGAGCTGAAAACCCAAACTAAAATTAGACTCTGGTTTGAAGTTATGCACTAGAGAACTATTTCCAGTTAAGGGGATTATTCATATTTGAAATATGAGAAACAGAGGTAATAATATGCTGATAATTTATAACCACTTGAATATTTTTTAAATCTCAAGAAGGAATTTATCTTACATTCTCACAGCTGATATATTTAGGCCTCTTACAGCATGCAACCATATTTCCAAATATGAAAAATAAACAGGAAAGTAGAAAACATAATTCGATGGCACGGGCTTGGCTGAACAAATTGTAAAAGAGCGTCCTTAGCAACGGTCACAGCTCCCAGACAGGTAACTAGCTACTTAAACCCCTAAGACGAGAGCAGAGCTGAGGCCAAGGGGACGATTGGTCTTAAGACACCAATTTTCCTTAATAAGTTCAAGGAACATGACATCATAACTGATAATAAAAACTTCCTAAGACAGTTCCAAGAGCATCCAAAGTTTTCAAATGAAAGAAAACTGAGCAAGAGCTGATAAAGGCCTTTCGAGGCATGGTCTCTACTCAGCTATGTAAAGAAGTCAGACAAGGAGGGGTTCTCACTTCCCAGGCACCTGGTTCATGAAAGACGGATGCAGACTCAGCCTGCGTTTTCTGGTTCTGATTATTCACGAACAGACACAGCACAGGACACATCCATGCAGAGTGAAGTATGCAAGGAAGAAAAAGCTGGAGGAGCTGCGTGGCCCAGCCCTGGTGCTGTGCAGAGACCCAGAGTGCAGTGAGGCTGCAGAGGCTAGGCAGGGAGCAGGAAGGACTTTGATGCAAGCCTTTCTGGAAAACTGCATAAACAGGTATTAAAGCCTAAATTTGAAAGGTTCCAATAATTTGTGGAGACTTATTTCTCACTAGAAATAATTTTTATGCCTAACTTTGTAAACATATTTTTAAGAGATGACACCTCGGGCTGGAGAGATGGCTCAGCGGTTAAGAACACTGACTGTTCTTGCAGAAGACCAGGGTTGGAATCCCAGCACCCACATGGCAGCTAACAACTGTCCATAACTCCAGTTCCAGGGGATCCGAAGCCCTCTTCTGACCTCAGAGGCATAGCACGACACGGTTGCACTTACTTACATGCAGACAATATACACACACACATAAAATTAAAATAATAAATAAAATATGTTTAAAAAAGAGAGAGGACACCTCTTCCTATAGAGGACTGTGACAACTAGTTATATGTCTAAGAACTACCTAATAATCTCAATGTATCTGAAAGTTAAAAATTCAAATGGATATTCATATTCTTAAGAAAACTGTATGTATGAGTCCAGCCTGCCCCTACCCCAGATACCCCCAGCGGAGATGTCTTTGGTTGTCATAATGGCTCTGTGTAAGAGACATTTCTTTATAATAAAGTGTTTTAGACTTTGTGGGTTTCAGTTTCTCAACTGTGTCATAGTGTGAAAGCAGCCACAGCTGGTACCTGAACGAGGGAGTATAGTCATGTTCCAGGAAAATTTTATTTATAAAAGCAAGCGGTGGGCCAGATTTAGGTACAGGCGGAAGCCCACGGGAGGTAGCTGTCAACCCTCCACGTAAAAGTATTTAAGTATTATCTGTCAACTTCAACACTTTTGACTTCTACCAAATTTTCTGTTGTGCATAACTGTCTTGAATAGGTGTTTATCACCCACTGGGTGCCAGAAGTACCCCCACCCTTCAACTGCTGCAGGGTGACAACCAAAGACCCCTCTAGTGGGCCTCAGCTACCCACTGATTTAAATTACAGGACTGTGTGTTCAGGGTGAGGGCAGTTAGGAGATATCCATATCTGGGTGATCCACGTGTCGTCTAGTTGCGTCCAGTTCATTTCTATACATCCCTCAATCATCCCCTTCCCTCTGAGGTCCTTCCTGGGACATCAGAATCTTCCGGACCCCAGTGACTTAGAAACACGACTCAACCTTCATCTGACCATTGTAACTTCAGGTTTATTTACAAACACAACATTTATAGCAACAAATTAATGTTTATATTGTGTTACCTGAGGCTCTGCTGTCTGTAACTAAGACTTCCGACTGCCACGTTTGCTATTTTTTATAGTCAGATGCCTCCAAAAATCAAAGGAGTATCTGGACATGTTTCCTGTTGATGTGGGCTCATTTTCCTCAGTCTGGCTTTTTAACTCAGGATGGCATATAATAAAGTTTGCGATAGAATGCATGTGGGATTTCCCCATGAGCGCCAGGCATCTGCAGCTCCTTGCCTTCTTCTACCTCATGGTTAAAGAAGCAGGAGGACCCACACTGCCTACTACGTTGGGAGACTGTGGACGGTGGTGAGAGTGATCCTACAGCCGTGCTGTGGGAGGCTGATGCTACGTCATCTCAAGGGCTGGCAACTCTATATGCCTTTAACATGGAACTTCAGAAACAAAGCAAACACCACACAGTATCTCGCCACTTTTTTCTGTCATAGGGAGAAAAGTATTCCTGTTTCCTTAGGTAGGTGGTAAGCGAGACGAACGGGTTCTACAGTGACTTTACCCTGGTGCACCATGGTCTGCCAGGAAAAGGCAACTTCAACCTTACTTTAAAAATTAGGCTTAGCTTTTTGCAATCTTGCTGTTTCGAGATGCTTCTAGAATAGAAAACCTAAAGGGTTAGTTCCTATTGCTCTTAATAATGCCCTTTCATAATAAACCTTCCACGCTTGATTGTACGACTGGGGGCTCTCAATTCCCCAAGTAAATCAGGCATAACTCAATATTCATAAGATTTGCAGTCGTGTTCCTTATGGTTTTTCATGCGAGCATCCATACTGACCTCGGGCAGTGAATTCTGATTCTGGGGAAAACAAGTCCTAAAGCTTTAGGTCTAGAGCAGTCACGGGAACAGGCCTGCGGGGCACAGCCCCAGTTCTCCACTCCTGCATCACAGCTGCACTTTCCCTGCTGTCCTCTCTCTGTGGGGAAACCACGTGCACAGTTTTGAAGGCAGTCTAGGGCTTGTTTCTAAGCCATGTTCACTTAACCTACAAGCAGAATTCAGGCGACCTGACGTTGGACTCGAAAATGAGCTCAGCATGCCCTGGAAGACTAGCTCCTCTCTGACTGTTCCCGACAGAACACCCACCGTGCACCTCACCCAGACCCCCAACCCAGTCAAACCACCGGGCAGGTGGCTGGCGAGTGTGTTATACC